TCTTTACAAAAATTGAATTGAAATAATTACAACATCTGTTTGAAGTGTAAATGAACAGAATTCGAATCTAATGCTACCAAGGACTAGTGATAGCCATAACTGGAATGCGGGTACATCTTCCGATCCAGCTCCCTCCGTACGCAGCAACATCAGCATCCAACATCTGCACGCAAGGTGCAGAAGTGTAGTATTAGAACAACCAGTCCCATGTACTCAATAAGTAACAAACCTAACCTTAGGTTGAAAGTAGTGACGAGCTGGGACAAGGGTCAGAGTCCAACTCCAATAACGAGCAACAGTTCATAACAATATAATAAAAATGGTACAAGAAATAACTCAGCTCGTTCACAGTTACGGGGAATAGGCATGCTTTTCAAGTATAACAGTAAATCCCAAATCTTTCACAGAAAACCCCAAAATATATATGAGTAGGTTTGAACACCGTGATTTTCCCAAAAAAACACTTTCAACAATGAATAAGAGGTTTCATTTTTTAGATAGCACGAGGAAAGTACATCTCTATGCCTACATGTTAATATGCAGGTGATATCATGAATGTCACCAACCGGGTAGCATGAGGAAATGCATCTCTATGCCTGTAACTCAGGTACGCATGTCAAATGCAATATATCTCAATGATGAACTTATGTACTCACACTCTCAGAGTACTCAATCTCACTGTCCCGTATTCTCACTCATCATGCTCAATACTCAGCACACTCAGTCACTCAGTACTGTACAGGGCAAACCCAGCCCCAAGATAAACCATGGCAGATCCAGCCTAATGCAAATGAACCTAAATGCAAATAAACCAGGGCAGATCCAGCCCAATGCAAATGAACCAGGGCAGATCCAGCCCAGATGCAAATGATTTCTACCAATTGCCCCCACTGTGGGTGTGCAGACTCCGGAGGGGCCGATCCAGCTCAAGCGCTATAATAAGCCAAATCCTGGCGTGAATCAATAAAACCTGCTGCGGCGTGCAGCCCGATCTCATAAATATCACTCACCATAGACCCTCGGCCTCACTCAGTCATCAATCTCTCAAATCTCTCGGGCTCATAACACTCATGCTAAGCAGCCCTAATCAATGATACTAGATGTGACAAAATATGATAACAGAGACTGAGATATGATATTAAATGATGAATGCGACTAAGTACATAACTGCAATTAAGCAAATAACTCAACAACAAAGAACGACTACTGTAGGTCCCAATAGTACCAGCATATAGCCTAAACATGATTTCTAGCATAAATTACAGCTCAAGTGCTCTAACACATAGAGTACAATCAAAATGTTCAGATAAGATAGCTACACAGTTCCATGCAATTGACTAAATCACAATTCACACGGTGCACGTCCACACACCCATCACCTAGCATGCGCGTTACCTCAACATCAATCATATAACTCGTAATTCGGGGTTCCATACCCTCAACACCAAGTTTAGAAGTGTTACTTACCTCGAACAAGCCAAATCCAATACCGAGCAAGCCAAGCGATGCTCCAAAAATGCCATCACGCGCATACCGACCTTCGAACGGCTCGAAACTAGCCAAAATCAACTCAAATACATTAATTAATGCCAAAGGAAACAAACCCAATCGATAAAGGTCGAATCATTAATCAAAAACCCAAAATCAATCCAAAAGTCCAACCCGGGCCCGCGCCTCGAAACCCGACCAAACTCAATAAATCCAACAACCCATTAAATTACGAGTCCAACCATACTAGTTTCATCCAAATCCGACTCCAAATCGATGTTCAAAAATCAAGAATTCTCTCTATGAAATTTTAGACAAAACCTCCAATTTTCTATTTAAAATTCATAATCCACATGCGAAAATCAAAGATAGATTCATGAAATATAACCAAAGCCATGTATAGAACACTTACCCCAATCCTTGTGATGAAATTTGCCTCCAAAATCGCTCCATTCCGAAGTTTATAGCACAATATGTGATAAAAATGGCCAACCCTCGAACATAAAGCATTCTGCTCAGCGTTTCCGCATTTACGGACAATAGGTCTCACCTGCGACCTTCGCTTCTGCGAAACAAGGTCGCGCATCTGCGAGACAGCCTTGGCCAGCAGTGGCCGCTTCTGCGATGCCCAGGTTCGCTCCTGTGATGGTGCTTCTGTGCACGACGAACCGCTTCTGCGAAGTCTCCCCAGCCAGCCTAGTTGGCACTACATCTGCGGAATAACACTTCGCATCTACGCGACCGCAGATGCGGCACTGCCATTGCACCGACGAACTTCCTCGCCCCTGCGACTCAACGCACTGCTTCTGCGCTTTCGCAGGTACGTCCCAACTCTCGCATCTGCGGAGCCCTGCTCTAGCTCCAGCTCCACATCCGCTCCTGCGACTCTTTTGTCGCTTCTGCAGCCATCGCACCTGCGCAAATTCAACTGCAGGTGCGCAACACCAGTACCAGCAGCTACCAGCAACCAAATAAGAATGAGAAATGGTCTGAACCTTGCCCGTAACTCACCCGGGCCCTTCGGGACCCCATCCGAATATACTAACAAGTCCCATAACATAATACGGACCTACTCGAGGCCTCAAATTACACATAACAACATCAAAACGATGAATCACACTTCAATTCAAACTTGAATGAATTTTAAACTTCCAACTTCCAAAACTCGCGCCGAAACATATCAGATCAACCGGAATGAACTCAAATTTTGCACACAAGTCCCAAATGACATAACGAAGCTATTCCAATTCCCAAAACCCCAATCCCAATCCGATACCATCAAAGTCAACTCCCGGTCAAACTCATGAACTTTCCAAACATTCAAATTTCAAACTTTCGCCAATTAGCGTCGAATCCTTCTAGAAATATCCAAATGCAAATTCGGGCATACACGTAAGTCCAAAATCACCATCCGGACCTAACGGAGCCCTCAAAACTCCATTCCGGGGTCAAAATCATAAAAGTCAAACTTGGTCAACTCTTCCAACTTAAAGCTTCAATCATAAAATTCATTCTTCCAAATCGATTCCGATTAACTTGAAAACCAAAACCGACGATTCACACAAGTCATAATACATCATACGGAGCTACTCATGCCCTCAAACTACCTAGCGAATTGCAAATGCTCAAAACGACTGGTCGGGTCGTTACATCCTAACTCCACTCGAAAAGTCAATAAAGTCAACCTTCGAGCCCACATACCCGGATTCCAAGAAATTTGGAAAATAAACTTTACCCATAACGCCATGAACTGAATTATATAATTTATCCTAAATTTCATGTCCAATTTCGTGGTCAAAATCCAAAAATATGATTTCTAGGTTTTCTACCAAAATTCCATAATTTCTACTAATTTTCATGTTTAAATCCATATATAAGCCATGTATTTAACTCACAATGTATAGAAATCACTTACCTCAAGATTGATGATGGAAATGGCGCTCCAAATTCGCCCCAAAGTTGGCTCACATGGAAGAAATGAGGTGAAAATGAGCCAAACCACCGATTTTAAAAGAACACTGCCCAGAATTTCCTTCTTCGCGATAGCGAAAAATGCCTTGCGATCTCCTAGGCCAAAAATGCCACTGCCCCAAAAACGGTCTTTGCTTTTGCGGCTAGGACATCGCGTTCGTGATGCATCACTGCCCCGACCCTCCGCATTCGCGATTACCATGTCGCGTTCGCGTAGGCCAAAGGCCTCCTGGCCCGTTTCCTCCATTTCCTCATCACGATCGCGGTTGGGCCTTCGCGTTCACGAAGCACTGCCAGGACAACCTATGCGTTCGTAGACCCATCTTCGCGTTCACGTAGGGCAATCAGTTGCCCCCTCCAATTTCCTTCTTCGCGATCGCGGGACAATCTTCGCGATCGCGAAACACACCAGCACACTAGCACACCAGCAACAACGAATCATCAAAACTTGGTCCGACACCATCCCGAAATATACCCGAGGGCCCCGGGACCCCGTTCATTCCTACCAACAAGTCTCAATACCTGACGCAAACATACTCGAGGCCTCAAATCACACCAAACAATATCAAAATTACGAATCGACGATTGAAACCTTCTTTAAACTTTCAAACATTCAAATTTCGACGAACGCATCCGACTCATACTTAAACATTCCGGAATGACGCCAAACTTTGCGTGCAAGTCACAAATCACGATACGAACCTATTCTAAGGCTCGGAACCTCAAACGGATATCGATAATATCAAAATCCACTTCAAACCAAACTTATGAAATCCTAAAACCTTCAAATGCCAACTTTCAATAAGCGCCGAAATGCTCCCGGACCACCCGATACTCAACCCGAATACATGCCCAAGTCCGAAATAATCATACGAACCTATTGGAACCTTCAAATCCCGATTCCGAGGTCGTTTACTCAAAAGTCAAATCTTAGTTAATTCTCCCAACTTAAACCTTCCGAAATTAGAATTTTTCATCCGAATCAACTCTGAACTTCCCGAAATTCGATTCCGACTACGCGTACGAGTCATAAAACATGAAGTGAAGCTACGCAAGGTCTCAAACCGCCGAGCGATGCGCTACAGCTCAAAACGACCGTTCGGGTCGTTACAGAATCTAAGCACTCTAAATTAGAGTAGTACTTTTTACATCCACGAAAACAATCAACCTGAAAATGGAAGAATGAAAGATTCCCATCCTTATCTGAAGGTGACGCAAACTACATAGCAATTCAACTTCATTGGGTCTTCTTTCCTTGAATCTCCTGTTACCTTTAACTCTTCAACTTCCTCTAAAGAGACTTTGTTTCTTTGTTCCTACTCGATGATGACTCAGAGTTCTCTGTATATAAACAGCCACTTTTGTACAAACTTGATATCAATTGTGATAAAGACAGATAAAAAGCAAGGTACTTTTCATCTTCCCATTTCATTTTAATGCCGTGATCAGGTACTTTTTTGTTTTTCGAATTCCTTACATGTTGTTTCTTGTTTGTTGTAGCTGGATTGTTGGGTGAAGAGAATTATAAGGTGGAGGTTGTTCAGTCCAATAAAGCAGATGCCTTTTGATGTAGTAGATGACTCCAATGGCTTTCCCCGTGTGTTGTTGTCTGAGCCTGGTGGTTCCTCAGCGGAGGTCTTTCTCTTACTGCAACAAGTTTACACTTTAATATTTCTGAAATTCATGATATATTGTTGTGGATTAAGAATTTAATCCAATTCTGCCTTTCCCAAATTATTATGCCAGATGGGTACATCTCCGGCCATCGGATAAGTTTTCGTTATAAATGGATATAGGGAGTTCAGATCGCAATAATCTAAAAATTTCACGCTACGGCTTATAGACATCAGCTTGTCCTCCATAATAACCACGCCGAATGAAGCGTTCTTAGTTTTCTATAAAAAAAAGTTCCATTTTTATTCAGAGAAATTAATCTCAAGGGACCAGTAATTGGTTAAGGTTTATATAAATTTTCTTGTATTATGTCTCTGACTATGAAGTGCATACTAAAGGAGACTTTGATATCTGTGTAAAATATAGGACCATCTATTCCATGAACTCCGGCTAGTCTAGCTACTATGCTGTATTCCTCTTTAGTTCCTATTAGCTTCTTCATTAGCTCCTGTTTCTTCCCACTAGATTTGGATGCAAAAGGTAACATATAGAAGCAACTGCATATGAACCGCTTCTGAAACTTTAATCTCAGCTTCTTTGGTATTTTCCTGAACAACTTTCCTGTTTGAGGTAGGCTTGAAATGTTTAGTTTGGTTTAAGAACACATTTCCTCAGACTTTTCATATTCTTTTTTCCCTTGAATATCTTGGTTTTGGAACATTTGAACTAGAGGCGACACTCAGGCTTATGGCTAGTGCGTGCTGTAGATGGTACTGGCTGAAGTATAACATCAAGTCACATTTGCTGACTGGTTGAATCATGAACCAGAAGGATTCTCTATATGGTTTGGTATATGTAACTCCATTTTAATAAGTTAAAAATAGGTACTCTTGTATGGTGGTCAAGTTGTCTCATGGAAGAATGAACGAGGAGAGGAACAACTGTTCAGAAGTACCAAGGTATGCAACATGGATGGTCATATTTAATAGTCTTTTCGTGCTATATTTTTTAAGCAATTATGTGATGGGACGAAAACAAATTGTGAAGGAGTCACCAAGATATACATGCTTATACTTGTAGCTTGCATGGAGAAAACAAAGCCTATGTGTTTTCTGAATATGCTTCTTTCTCGTTGTCATAACCTATATTTACAGTTCACATACTGCATACACTGAATCACAGTCATTTAATAGTTCTTTGTGTATACATTTCAGCTGCATTCAAGTGTTCTAGGCCTAAATTTTGTAGGCTGTATGTGTTTCTTTCTAACCTCTACTACAAAGTGGCCTGCATTACCTTAGTTTTCACACCATATTGCTTGCTAAATAGTGGTTGTTTTGATAGCAAACGCTAAATGGTTGTCTATTTAGTTTTATCAGAAGATGGCAAGAACTAATACACCATTTTGTATACGTATGAATATCGTAAGCTTCATTAATCAGTGAGATATTTATCTAAGTGGCTGCTGAGGTCTGATAACGTTAGCTTACATATTGGTGCCTTTTCATTCTTTAGGCTCTTGCAAAATCTCCAAATGCAAATAGGGGCGGGATATCTGTTTCAATTTCACAGGTGAGATCACTTGCCAATATTTTTTATTAATCTTGTTTCTTGATTCTATGCATTCATTCAAGAGCTTTAGTTTGTCTATGCAGCTTGGTGCTACAGGGCAAGTTCTGCAGCATGGATTGGTGAGACAGAATCTGTGGTCATTAGTTAGTAGCCCTTTGCATCTACCTTCCTCTGGAAGCCAATCATCTATTGACCTCATCTGTCAGCCCGTTGGGAAAGATTTGAAAACTTGGCCTTGTAGGTATGCTCAGGTGGTGATTGTGGTTACCAAATAATGAAACTTTTTTAGGAGGATCACTGCATTTTATGGTGATGTATGGTGGTCTCATGCAGTTTTGAACTCCGGCTTCATGTATCATTGGGTCCTGGAAGGCTGAAGCTGATACCCTCTGTGAGGAATACTGATAACAAATCCCTTTCCTTTAAGTTTGGCCTAAGAAATTACTTGTCAGTATCTGATATCAGGTCTGAGAAGTAACTTATGTTGCTGTATTCGTAGTCATCATATAATCTTTACAATTAGGCTTAAAAGACATGTTATTCATTAACATTTTACTATGTTGATTGTAGTGAGGTGCGCATTGAAGGTCTAGAGACACTTGACTACTTGGATCTTTTGTTGCAAAGGCAGAGATTTACTGAACAAACTGATGCTATTACATTTGACGGGGAGGTATATTTCTCTGTATCTGATTGATAGGCTAAGCTTTGCTTGATCTTAAATTTTCTCGCGTTAAAGTCTGTAAAAGTTAAGTATTGCTGGCTGGTTAATCTAAATTTCTTCTCGTGTGTAGCATTTGGTGAGAAACTAGGATTTCTCGTTACTGAATATTGCTAAATGTGTGTCAGGTCCATCGTGTTTACTTGAGTTCACCACCAAAAATTGCCATTATAGACCATGAGAAAAAGAGAACTTTCGTTCTGCGAAAGGAAGGCCTACTAGATACAGGTCTGCAAAATCTGTTAACTAGTTATTTATTTTTATATCTTTTGGGCATTGTATTCCCTCTGTAGTTTATATTGAATCTTCATTTTGACTGACAGTTGTTTGGAATCCATGGGACAAAATACCTAAGGCTATTTCTGACTACAAGATTATGATGTTAGTAGATTCCGCAGCCTTTGAAAAGCCAATTGAGCTGAAACCTCATCAAGAATGGAAATGCTGTCAAGAGATTGTTGCTGTCTCTTCAAGCTATTGTAGTGGGCAATTGGATCCTCAAATGGTTTGAGCTGAACTTAAATATAAGCTACATATTGGGCTTCTCTTATGTGTTATGTTGCTGTCATATGTTTATATGTAAAGATAAACTTGATAAGATGATTCTGCAGTTCTTTGGTTTAACGTTCTATGTATTGACCTGCCCCGTTTATTGGTGAGGAGGTGACGTCAATTAAACATATAGTGAAGAACAGTAACAGACCCAAGATTTTATATAAGCGGGTTCAGTCAAAAAGCATAGTAACCACTTGTATAATCGGCACCGGTAAATAGAATTTGCTCGCTACTCAGTTTTAGTCATCATGTGACCTCAAAATAGTCATTGACACCCTTTTTTAATCAAAGTTGGAAATTTTTGTAAAAAAAAAAAACAACTATTTACTTTTAATTTTTAGAATTTTATCTATATACATTAACAAATTTTACTTCAACAAATTTATATATTTATTAATTTTAACAAAAAATATTTAACCAACTTAAAAATCTTATACACTCTTAAGAAGTTTAACATAACAAGTATTTACAAACAAAACAAAAGTAAAAAAGTGAGTTATGACCTAAACTAATTGATACATGCGTTTAAAGTAAAAGAGATTATACACCAAACTAAAATTTTCAGTATAATAAAATTAAAAATTTCAACATATATAAACTAAACTACATTAAATTAAAAAACTACAAATAATCTCAACAAAACACTCTCATGCTTTAGCAGAAATTATGAAAGAGAGAACCAAAATTCACTTAATGGAAAGGTTTTTTTTCTTGAAGTAAAATAGAGTTTAATAAGAAAAGCTATTGTGGTTATAAGCAGAGAAAAGAAATCATAAAGAGAAACAGGAAAAGAAAACAAAATAAAAAATAGCAAGGTAACAATAGGTGATGGGAAAAAAAGGTAACATAAAATGATGAACAAGAAATCACAAAGAGAAACAGGAAAAGAAAACAAAATAAAAAATAGCAAGGTAACAATAGGTGATGGGAAAAAAAGGTAACATAAAATGATGAACAAGAAATCACAAAGAGAAACAGGAAAAGAAGATAAAATAAAAAATAGCAAGGTAACAATAGGTGATGGGAAAAAAAGGTAACATAAAATGATGAACTGAAACATAAAATACAATGTGGAATAAATATGAGTTTGCCGCTGAAACAGAGATTCAAACTTGTGACCTCTGCCCCCATTATGAACCCTCTTTGCCACTGCTTTACGGCTTTCATTTGTGTCAAGTGGGTTCAAGTTTTATAATATCATTTGTGTCAAGTGGGTTCAAGTTTTATAATATTATCTTTTTTCATGATTTTCTGATGAAAATAATTAATTTTTTCGACGAAGCGGGTTCAACTGAATCACCTTGCTATAAGGTGGATCCGCCTCCGGTGAAGAGAACAATGCGTTATGTATTGCCCATGTTGGTATTTCTTAGCTGATAATTTCTTTTGTTCTGTCATTTGTGTAATCCATTATGTATCAAGTGCTAGGCATGTGTATTATCTACATAAGCCTTTCTCAAAGACAAATGTTTAGTGGGCAAGAGTGTCACGCCCCGAACCTAGGCCTGGACGTAACACGGCACCCGGTGCCTGACTACATGTGACCGAGCGAACCAACTGGCTGACTTAATCAACATGTGATATCATAACATACTGAATGCGGAAGATAAACTAACACATGCTGATCTACTGAAAGTATGAATGATATAATTCAATGTGTGGAAACACTAGCATAAGTATGCAACATATCTGTAGCCAATATTGCTTAACATGAAAAGCCTGCGACTATGTCTAATTGTTACTCTAGTCTATGAAGCCTCTAATGAAGTACTGAACACACTGACTATCTGTAAATACTGAAAGACTGTAAAGAAATGATAATGCCCCGAAAGAACTGGGGCTGACCCAATAGCTAGTACGAGAATCCTAGCGCTCTGAATCGTCAATCCTTCTTGGTACCTCAAAGTACCATCATCTCCCCCTTTGTTCAAAAGTAATCGTCTTATGCTTGTGAATCCCCTCTTTCAGCTAGAACAAGTAGGGATCATCAAAGTGTTTCTCCTTCACTTCGGCTACTTAGGAGGAACAAGTCCTGTTCTGGACAACAACTACATTATCTTCGGAGTCCGAAAGTCAAACTCCTAGCTTGACTAAGCAGTGAACGTCTTTCACCAGAGTTCTCTTATCTGCCTCAATCATGAGCTATACTTCCCATACTTGATTATATTTTTAAGGTAATTCCTGAAAACACTTATAGTATTGATGCGAGCTAAGTCTTTGACCAGTACACCGAAGATTAGAGTCTCATGAACATTCTACTAACTTCGTGTTTCTTACACACGCTAGGCACATTCCTGGTGGTAATTATATCATTTTTTGTATCAATGATAACATTTTGGGTTTCAAATCTCCAACTGGACTTACTGATGATTTTCACAACTCCCCTTTAGGCTAAAGGTTAAGGTCTTGTACTTGCGGATAATTCTCTTTTATTGTGATCCGAACAACAATCCTTATCTTCTGCAATTCTTTGTACTTTACGTCAATAATGACTCATTTTCCAACATACTTCTAAGAAATCTTTCTTACTAGGAAAAACTAAATTACTTACATAAATGGAAATAAGACAAATCCAAGGATATAATTACTTTAGTAAATTTGACTGTAAATCAGGATTTTACCATCTAAAACTACAAGATGAATCTAAAAACTAACAGCATTTACAGTGCCACAAGGATTTTATGAATGGAATGTTTTACCATTTGGATATAAAAATGCATCAGGAAGATACCAACATTTTATGGATAATTATTTTAACCAACTAGAGAATTGTATAGTATATATAGATGATATATTACTATATTCAAGAACACAAGATGAACATATAAAATTATTAGAAAAATTCATACATATTATAGAAAACTCTGGTATAAGCTTAAGCAAAACCAAAGCAGAAATTATGAAGAATCAGATAGAATTTTTAGGAATACAAATAGATAAAAATGGAATAAAAATGCAAACACACATAGTACAAAAAATAATTAATCTTGATGAAAACATAAATACAAAAAAGAAATTACAATCATTTTTAGGATTAGTAAACCAAGTAAGAGAATATATACCTAAATTAGCAGATGGCATACTGAATAACCATAAACCTACTAATTGAAAGATTGTATAACTAGTAACTGAGGTAAACTGATAACCATAGAACATGATAACTGCTTTCGTACTTTCTGATAAGGTTATCTAATATGTAATACTATCCATTGTATCCCGCTTTCAACATCCTCTTAAGTCTAATTTGTTACCAACCTGTACTCCATAATTATACCCCAATAGGCGATCATCCTCTCTAGGACTTTGGGTTTTTCCTGCCTGTCACTTGGGCATTCGATACGTCTGGAATTTGATAGGAAGAGAAGGTTACTATAGCTCTAAGCCTCATGGCACGATCTAGAGTAGAAAGAAATGAGACAATCCTGAATGTCTTGGTAGTTAACCATTTATATGCGTGGCCGGCACACACATATAAAGGAAACTCCACTGGATACGGCTTCATAGACTCCCTAGGACACTTGAACCTAGTGCTTTTATACCAAGCTTTGTCACGCCCTGAACCTGGGCCTGGACGTAACACGACACCCGGTGCCTGACTACATGTGACCGAGCGAACCAACTAGCTTACTGAATCAACATGTGATATCATAACATACTGAATGCAGAAGATAAATTAACACATACTGATATACTGAAAGTCTGAATGATATAAATCAATGTACGGAAACACTAGCATAAGTATGCAACATATCTGTAGTCAACATTGCTTAACATGAAAAGCCCGCGACTCTGTCTAATTGTTACTCTAGTCTATGAAGCCTCTAATGAAGTACTGAAAATACTGACTGTCTGTAAATACTGAAAGACTATAATGAAATGATAATACCCCGAAAGAACTGGGTCTCACCCAATAACTGGTACAAGAATCCTAGTGCTCTGAATCGTCAACCTGTAAATCATTACCTGTATCGTGAGATGCAGGCCTCGAAAAAAAGTGACATCATTTAAATTGCACTGGTATGTAAAGCAACTGAAAGAAAGAACTATAAATACTGAAACTGATAACTGATAATTGATAACTGAACTAAACATAGGAAGTAAGGTTATGAATACTCCCTCTTCTAAATGATGAACCACATGTTTATTTGAATAAATAAACTGCGGCCTCAGGCCTAATATATATATGTACACAAACTGCGGCCTCGGGCCCAAGTATACGTATACATAACTGCAGCCTCAGGTCCAAAGATTCATAAAGCATAAACTGCGGCCTCAATCCCAAAGATGCATAAAGCATAAACTGCAGCCTCAGGCCCAAATACAAGTGTTCAACATTCAGGAATTTAGAATTAGGAACTGAGAATCATACTGCAATACGTGATGCTGAAATACTGAATCATACTGAGTTACATGATACTGAAATGCTAAATAGGATTAGACTAAGACATGTATTCATAATAAATTAATTTTTCATAACTGAAACTCATAGGATGTTGAACGATTAAGAAACTATACCATCTAGAGAATAGAAGTTCTACAACTATTCATGGAACTAAGGCATAATTACATTCTGAGGAAACTCGTAACAGTCATAAAGTATAGGACGTAGGGAGAATCATAAACATTCCCAAACGTAAAGAGAGTGTCACGACCCAAAATCCATAAAGGTCGTGATGGCGCCGGACACCACTGTCAGGGAAGCCAACCATGAATACTTAATAAATTCTCATTTTAATATTTTTGAAATCATAGTTGTTCCCCTCAATTAAATAGCAGAAGATGGTGTTTACAAAATACGTAATAATATCTTTAAAAATTTTCAATACAGTGCAACCCATAATCATCCCAAAACCCGTAGTTACAAGTGCATGAGCATTTACTAAGAATGTAAAATAAATACAACAGCTGTCCGGAATACAAATTGGACAGAAAAAATGTAAGTACTCTAAAGGAGACTCTGTTGGTTGCGGAGCGTCGTATAGAATGCAGCTCACTTAAGTCCCCGATATAATCACGCCTCTGCGCCCACAAGGCCGCTAAACATATGTGTACCTGCACAAAAATGTGCAGCAAGTGTAGTATGAGTACATAAATCAACGCGTACCCAGTAAGTATCCCGCCTAAC